ACTATTTCCACGAGGTAACGGGGACCCTCAGTCATTTCAAAACCACCTGGATTTGAGTGGAGGAGATATCAAGCATAAGAGTACACTTGCCAACTCAACACTTCAGAAGCACCTGCCTGAAGAACTGCTAGTGCAAATCCACCTTCATCATGTACCAATCCTACCTATGGCACAACCAACAGGGCTTCCCCCATCGTTCCCGTGGTGCTCTGAAACCCTGAGGAACGTGCTCTTGAGAAAGCTAATTTGAAGAAGTGCATGCTGCTTTCCACACTTGGTACCAAGCGAGGTCACCTTCTAGAGAAAAAGGGGAAAACCTGCCTGTGGAGCAGCCCTTCTGTCCCTTGCACATACCTGTTGTCTCAGCCCCAGAACTGTACTTTCACTAAAGGCTGAGACGGCTGCTGTCTGCAACTGGACAATGATGGATTATTCCAGTGAACTCCTGCTCCCTAGCCTGATGTTAACTGCTACAAAAGCAAGCGATTGGGAACCTTTCAATAGGTGGCAGCAGAAATGTGTTATCAAGCCAGTGGATTCTTTAGGGACACCCTTCATGGCAAAACCACCCATTTAGAATCACAGAATCAGCTAGGTTGGAAAAGACGTTTAAGATCATCAAGTCCAAGCTTTATTCCAGCACTGCCAAAGCCATCACTAAACCATGTCACTAAGGGCCTCTTCTACACGGTTTCTGAATACTTCCAGGGATGGTGATTCCAGCACTGCCCTGGGAAGCCTGTTCCAATGCCTGAGCACCCTTCTGGTGAAGAAATTGTTCCTAATATCCAGTCTAATCTTTGTTCCTTGGGAGTAGAGACCAGCCACCTCCTGCCTCCATCCTTCTGTGAGGCAGCTGTGGAGAGCAATAAGGTCCTCCCTGAGCCTTCTCCAGAATAAACTCCCCCAGGTCCCTCAACCATTCCTCATCACACCTGTGCTCCAGGCCCTTCACCAGCTCCGTTGCCCTTCGCTGATCCCGCTCCAGCACCTCAGTATCTCACTTGTAGTGAAGGGTCCAGAACTGGGCAGTTTTCAGTGGTACATTGCTTCACAACAGATACTGCATCCTAACCAGACTTTCGTCAGCAGTCAGGTCAAACACTTAGGACATGGGGAGGGGAAACTCACCCAGATTGTGAAAATCCCCACGTTTTGGTTTGGTGGAAGTGGCCCTCACAAAACTGACTCTTGCAAAATGTGTTAAGTTCCCTAATTTAGTGCTTTGGGTTGCATGGTCCTGCAGAGCCAAAACTGCTCACCAGAATACCTCCCAGCAATATGACTTTTGCACAATCACACCACACCTTATGTCTCTCAGCCCTGGCCAAACAAGGCCATTTAAAAAGAAAAATTACTTCCATAAACTTGAAAGACTCGACAAATCAGCAACAAAGAGATGATCACAGAATGGTTTGGGTTTGAAGGGACCTTACAGCTCACCTAGTCTAACCCCCTGCCATGGGCAGGGACACCTTCCACTAGGGCAGGCTGATCAAAGCCCCTGTGTCCAGCCTGGCCTTGAACACTGCCAGGGATGGGGCAGCCACAGCTTCTCTGGGCACCCTGTGCCAGCGCCTCAGCACCCTCACAGGGAAGAGCTTCTGCCTAAGAGCTCGTCTCAATTTCTCCTGGGTCAAGTTAAAGCCATTCCCCTTGTCCTGTCCCTACAGGCCCTTGTCCAAAGCCCCTCTCCAGGTTTCATGTAGAATGTGATGTGAACTCCCAGCTAAGCAGCATCCCCCCCAGCTCAGACTCCCCTGGCTGCCTCACAGGCAGGATGCAGCCATCTCCTCACTAGGAATACACTTCCAGCCCAATGAGCAGGGTGACCCCAGCGGCAGGGCCAGCAGGAAGCCCTAACAGCCTGCACATACCTGGAGCAAGGTGTGGCTGTGTAAAGCTGACTCAGGGCTGGGTCAGGTCTCCTGCACGCAGGAGCACGCTTTCCAAATAATCGTTTCCTGTTCTCCCCAGGCTAGATGGAGCAGATGGGGCAGGACAGAGGTTTATTGGGCATAGATAATCCCCCTCCCCAGAGCTGCTCAGCATAAAGGACAGCAAGGACCAAGTGCATGGGCCTGGATGACTAAGGCAAGGACAGGGGCTCTGGTTCTGTGACTAACTATTACTCATGCAAGGAGGAATTTGGAGAGGGACTCGCATCCAGCTCAGCTCATTGCTTTGAATACTTCTGCAGCTATAAGCACAAAGGAGAGCTTTGACAATGAATCAGACCCTGGTTTAAAATGACAAAGACAGACTTATCTACCAACTTTGTGTTAAAATGATTTCAGTGTAATTATAAAAGCAGCTTAATGCTAATCAGAGGAAACAAGCAACGTTTTCAAACCCAGATGACTAAATGTAGGCTCCTGGACGGACAAAACCATTTAAACACAGCAGCAGAAGTGGGGTTTCATTTATTGTCATGATGTATTTCACTTTCCCCTGGAATCCAAAGGAATGTGAGCACACTGGCGAAGTTTGTCTTAAAAGCTTTCTCCATTAAACTCTTTTCTAATTCCTTTTTAATCAGAACAACCTCTCCCCAAAAATAAATCCTAAAGTGAGTTTCTGGGATAACATTTATTTTGAAAGTACCTCTATAACCGGCTTCTGAAGGATTTGAAAGGAAGCAATCAACACCCACGTTAATTATCCTCCTGCTTTTAAAATCCACAATTACCCATCTAAAAATAAGGGTAGGAACAGTGAAAATAAAACAGTAATCAAATTCCAGCTTTCCCTTCATGAAGCCTTTGCCCTCTCAGCTAGTTTGTGTGCTTACTTTGCAGTCTGCAGTGCAGGGAAGAGTAACAAAGAATTACTATTAAGCAGTGGCTTGCAAAAACCTGGGAGTTTGAAGCGTTGTGACTGATTTATAAAGCCAGGCCAGGTCTAGACCAGTGGAAGATCCTTTCAGAGCTGGGAATTGCCTCTTAAACGTGATGATTTCTTCTTTCTGTGCCTCTGAGATCACAACATCATGTTTTGCAACCAGTGACTTGTGCACTATTTAACACAGGGCAAGCTTCTTACGCAATGTGCAAAGCAGAATGTACTCTTATTTGATCTTTATCTAACTAACCTACCATAGGAACTGGAACCAGGATTTAAAAAGATACACCTCCTTCCTCACGATTACTGAAGAGCATTTGTTTCGTTTTAAAGCCGCAAGATGCTGGCTGCACACAACCAGCCTGCATTTGTCTGGGATGAGAGATTATGCGATTCAGATAGAAGAGAAACAGCATAAAACACATATAAAGTTAAGAATGTTGAGAACACAATCCTTTTGCTACCCTCACTTTTGACAAATGACAATCGGACAGACTGTGAGGCTTAAACATAAAGAAATAAGTGAAGTCAGTGAGTCATCACAGCCTTGGAAGCAAGGAATAAGGCCTGTTATTCATGCTACCATCAGCAGTCAGTTTACAGGACAGAAAGAAGTGGAGCAGCATTAGTTATGCCCCAATTCCTCCAGTATTTACCTTAAATTTGTCTGGCCCCCGTCCAGTGTCAGAGGGCTTCTCCATAAATAATGATTTTGTCCTGACAGTGTTGGCTCTGTGCCCACCATACTCTCAACCTTCTCACCACTTCATTATTTTCAAGCCTATTTTTCTCACTGCTCAGAGGATTTTCCATTTCAAATATCAGGACTGAGAATGCAGACTCTCCTCCCTGTAACACAGCCAGACCTATAGGAAAAAAACAGAGCTTTGGAGCTACTCCCTTCTTCAAAACAAGCACCTCAGTGAAGGGCAGAGCAGCGCTGACAGCTCTGCCCATGCCAAGGATCTGCCATAGCTCTGGATGATCCCAGCTGACAGCAAGCTTAGGCAGGCAGCTGGACCACCCATGTCCTCAAAAGCAAGCTAAGCCTCGGGCTTTGCAGCCTGAAAAGCAGGAGCAAGCCCACAGTGAAGGCAGACACTTGGGCCTGGACGAGTGAAGATGAAACATGCCCCAGGAACATCACCAAGTCTGAATGTCAGTGCCCAGAAGGAACTGTCCAGACACTTGCAGCTGCCTCAGGCACCCAAAGTCATGCAAGATGAAGGCTGTCACCTCTCCTGGTCCTCAGAGGGAGCCTGAGGAGGCTCTGCACCTCACTGTCACCCGATTAATCTCCATGATTTGTGGAGCTTCCATAGCTTCCTCCTAAAAGGTCCGTGTAAGCCCAAATGTTAATCCTGCCTACTAAGTTCATTTGCATACTCCACTGTCCCCACATCAGGGATGCAGCCTCCCTGTACAGCAAGCAGAGGGAGATACCACCTCTAGGAACGAGTGACTCTGGAAGCATCATTGTCTCCCTCTTAATGCAGAGAACATCTGGACTCCTGATTTGTTAAAGAAACCTGCAGTTACTAAACCTCCAAGGTGGGAATTCAGGGTCAAGAGGAGAAAGAGATATCACCACTTTAAATTCCCAAATATTAGATACTGAAAAGCTGGGAGGGAGGAAGAGGAGACAAATAGAAAAACAAAAACCACACAAAAAAACCCAACCAAACACAAAAGCCACACCAAGACCAAACACAAAGCTACAACATACCACCTTGCAGGACAAGCAAATTAGAAGACAAAAATCAGTGTACACCCTAGCAATGCCCCAAACCTGCACACGATCTGTGCCACAGGAGTTTGGTACATGTTGCAGATCACGACTGCAGCCAAGCACCAGCATGGGTCTGGCTTGGCTCCTGTACAAGTGACAGAAGCACATCAGCCTTTCCTAGAGCAGATTAGGCCATAAAGCCAAGAGGGCTGAACCCAAGCTACGGACTGACCTCTTCCATGCACACACTTAGAAACAAGGGGCAGCTTCTGTGACAACATGTGTTTAAGATCATGTCCTCAGTACGTGCATGTATGCCAGCAGTGGAATGAGAGGACAGCATACTCATCCAAAGTAAAACCTGCTCCAGCCTAAAGCACAGAAGGCTATTCTTGAGGCTTCCCCCCTCCAAAGCAAACAGGAGCATTCCTTATTTTCCCCTGTTTATTTAAAAAGCCCACCACACATTCCTGGGCACTGGCCTATCCCGAGTAAACCATGGGATGAGAGCTTCTACACTGTAAATCGCAGACAAAAATCGGTCTAACTTGGGAACTGCCAAACAATTGCTATCTTCTTCTGGTTGCCGAGTGGTCTGCAAAGTGCACCACAAATCTCAAGAGACTTGTTTTCACATGGTTAAGGCACCCTCAGAATCAGCCTCTATGCATAGTTTCAGGGTAAAAGCCAGAGAGCACGCCAGGGGCGCAGGGCCATGCTGAGCTGCTCCATCCATACCTGCCCAGAGAATATCAACTCCCATGCTCCAGCACTCCTCTCCAGCCACACCTCTCCTGCTTAAAACTGTTCCCTCAGGGTATGAAAACACTGTAGTGCCAACCCAACCAGAGACATCCTGGCACACTCATCGAGAAGGGGGCAACACCATTATGCCTCGGGGCTCCAGCAAAGCTCCCAGAGAAATAAGATTAGAGAAATGGAAGCCACAGCATGAGCATGTTTGACTCCAGGCAGCACAAGGGAAGAGGTTTGTTGTTAACTTTGATGTCTGCTCACTGTAATGCAATCACTTTTTAACTTTACCAGAAAGAAGATCTGCAACACCATCCAAGCCTCTGAACACAAAGCACAGCAGTGCTTGCGAGCAGTGTTCATTTCTCCACCATGAACAAGAGCAAAGAAGTTCACTGTGTAGGATAGGACAACTGGACATAGCAGTTTAGGGATCACATGAAGACTTTATGAACTGGAAATCAAGCACTTAGGTACAGCTTTCCCAATTGCATTTTCTACTGCAGGCGGAGAAGAAAACAACCAACCCTTTATCTCTGCAGCAGTGAACTTTCAGTCTCCCATGCTCATGTGAAAGAACTGCCTGGGAAACAAGCACACAACAATATTGCAGTCAGATTTTAAAACCAAACTCCAATTCAAGCTGAAAGCTGCAGGTTGCTTTTGCCCTTTTCACGAAGGAGCTAAATTGAGTGGCACAGAGCAGACAGAGCTGCCCAGCAGAGCCTCCCCCATATTTGTTATTTTTAGCAATTCAGTCTGACAACGCCTGACAACTAAACATGCTGAATATAGCAGGAGAGAAGGGGACTATCAGATACTATCAGAGAAAACACACAGCGATAATCACTTTCTCCACCCCTAATGAAGAATCAGTTTTCCATGTCTTTATATCATAGAGCTTGTTCTTTTTAGAATGCCACATTTAAAAACAGAATCCATCGAGCCCTACAGTGGAAACGGATAACATTTCCTGAAACAAAGCATTGTTCCACCCCTCACATATCATGTTTCCTTAAAAACAAGGGAAGAAAAACATTACTTGGTTTTTCTCCTAATACTGCACAAACATTGCCGAGCTAAAAAGAGTCTGTGCTCATCCCTTTAGAATGCTTTCAAAATAGCTTTAACACATACCCCTTGCACTGTGAAGCACAACAAGAATTTGATAGTATCAGGACTGGAAAAATTGGATCGTTGCTGCTAAGCAGGATGCTTCCCATGCCAGTGAGTGAGTGAGCCTGTGCACCAGCCTCTGCAAGAGTCAAGCCTCACTGGTACAGCCTTTATGCAGGCATGTGCATTTTGCCAGCAAGCCAAGGTTATCAATTTGGATTCTAAAGGATTATATAGAAATTGTGAAATTAAGAATGTTACATATGTATATGTATATATACATACACAGACACTCACATATACACGCTTTCATTCCTTAGCTTTAACAAGAAGGGTAAAGCTACCTTGCTTCTTCTGCAGAGTGACTGACATTTGCTCTCTCATACACATTGATACTCCTTTGGTATCTTCAGAACACAGTTCCTCTCACTAAGACATGTACTGCAGCCAAAGCTTATTTTCCCAGCCCTGTACAAAGACAGGTCTTCTCCTTGCAGCTTTGCTATGTGATGAACAGCAGGGAAGTATCACATCAGCTTTGTAATGCTGTCTTGAAAAACGCAATGCATCACTTCAAAAGTGGAGGAACCCAAGACAGGGGAGCAAAGAAAAGGGACTAACTGTAATCACGAATTGCAGTTCCTCTAGGAAATGAGATGAGGAAGGAGAAAAGTTTTCAAACCAAATGCAAAACCCCTCATTGCTTTCGCAGTTCACTCTGAAAGCTGTGAATGTCAGGAAACACAGCTCACACAGAGTCACAGAATGGCTTGGGTTGGAAGGGACCTTAAAGCTCATCCATTTCCACCTCCCTACCACGGGCAGCGACACCTTCCACTAGAGCAAGCTGCTCCAAGCTCTGTCCAACCTGGCCCTGAGCACTGTCAAGGATGGGGTATTCACACTTCCTTGGGCAACCTGTTCCAGTGCTTTACCATCCTCACAGTAACAAACTTCTTCCTTATATCTAACCTGAACTTCCCCTGTTTCAGTTTCAACCCATTCCCCCTTGTCCCATCTCTACAGTCCCTGATGAAGAGTCCCTCTCTAACATCCTTGTATGACCCCTTCAGATACTGGAAGGCTGCTATAGGTCTCCACGCAGCCTTCTCTTCTCCAGGCTCAACAGCCCAAACACCCCTGGGGGCAGGTTAAAACCCATGTTTTCACGGACAGTCAGCAAAGAGGATCTCTCCTTGCTACACAGTTGGATGGATTTACATAAGACCTCAGCAGTGAACTCAACCCTCCATTCTCTGCTCTTCTGCAAACAGTACTAAAAGCCAGCAGGGACAGCGCATCTCAAATTCAGGCTAGTATCAAAAATCCACATTTCATAATACCTTGGCAATTGAGTCATAATAAGAAGGCAGAACTGTCTCAAGCTCGTGGTACATGAGTAACCAGATCAGCCACACCGTGTGGATACTGGAGGATTACTCTGACCAGCTTGAGCCAGCTATGCAAAGTGAGAAATGTGAGTAAGGTAGTTAACAATGTAAAATATAAACTTAAGCTTTAAAATCCTTCCAGTTTTAATAATGGATGGAGGGAAGTTTTAACCTATCTTGGTTTGATATTTATTTTATAGTGATGCAGTGGAATCACAAGGTCACAAAGATTCACATTCTTTCCTGCTTCTGTCACTACTTGTTTTCAGGACAGTAAAATCCCCTAACTCCTGTGATAAGTGCTCTCTGACTTGGACTCAGGTATTTCCCCTGAAATCTCTGTTTCCAGCAGTTGTCAGTCTAAAAGCTTTGTCCTTTTCCATGGGGAAGCCCAGGCCTAAGGAAAATCCTTTCCACAAAGCTGCCAGCCAGCTGGAAGCAGAGTAGTTAAAAGATGGACTTGAATGTTCAATTCAAACAAACTATTGAAAGTTTTGGCCATCTGAGCCCTACTATATATCATTAAGAAGAAAAACCAATCCATGTAGCAGTCACTTTTCTACTCTTACCACCTTTTGAGACAGTCATCATTGCGGGGAGCTTCAATTCAGTAGCCATACCAGAGACTCAAGCAACAGGGAGCTATGAAGCAGAAAAACACACTTGTGAAGCAGCCAGCTCTGAGGCTTTGTGTAAGAACAGCAAAGGTTGTAATGTGGGGGAAATTCCATCCATTCTGCTGAACTCAGCAATCGGAAAGTTCAGAAGGCGAGATCATTCCCCACCAGGAACAGGAAGAAAATGAGGACCACAGCTGAAGGGCACAGTAGCCAAAAAGCTGACCACAGCCTGATGGACCTGGCAGAAAGGGACCCCATGGGCAGATTGCAAACAGAGACTGTCAACCACACTCCAATCACTGGCAAATCCAGACCTGCTGCTACGAAGTTCTCCAACCCCAGTCATGGGGCTGCCTTTCTTCTAAACCACTGGCATCTGAGATGGCTTCAGAGTAGCCAGGATACAATGGCTTTGATCACATAACCATAAAAATGACTATGCCCTGTCTGCATTAACAGCAGCGAAATATGCAGCCTACCCAGGGGAGAATTGTTTTCCCCATTCAGTAAAAGTTCTCATGGCCAGAAACACAAAACCCCTTAGTATCTGGCACAGGAAACACTCCAGGCAACACCACACATGGTGATGTATTTGTCCTACAGCTCCCCAGGCAAGCTGAGTTTTAAGAAAGAATAATAAAAAAAAAATAATAATAACTCTACTTCTGTTTTACTGTAAGGAGCAGACAAAAAGAGACAGAACTGAATGGGTTTGAGTACTGACTTCCTGCTCCTGCTTGTCCCTACTTAACCTGGTCTCCACATTGACTTTCTCCAAAACGCAGAAGAGTTAAGCAGCTTGCCACAACTCAGTCTTTGCTTCCTCTGTCATTGCCCAAGAAACAAGGAAGAGGGGTTTGCATTTATTATATCTTAGGGACATTAAGAAAAAACAAACCACTAATGGCCTTGGAAAAGTACATTTTGAATATCTGCTCCGAAGAACTCTAAGTAAGCTGTACATGTAGCCACTAGAAGATAGTCAAGATTCTCTAGATAACTCATTTGAACACTGATCCTTGCACAGAAAGTACTTTATATTTCCTACATATTCTTCTCTGCCTTGAATACTCCAACCAGATAAACATAAGAGCACAGAAGTGCTCTAACCACATTGCCAAAACAAAGTCCTACCTCCCCCTAGACCCAGTCTTCAACAGCAGCCACAAGTAGAAGCCTAGGGCAGAATGTAGGGACAGGGCAGGCGTACACAGAACTTCCTCCTCATACTTTCCCAGCCTTCAGACATTTTTAGCTCAGGACTTCCTGAGCAGAATGCCATTTCTACATATTTGGTAATTCTCAATGGATTTCTCTTCCATGAATTTGTGCAATTGTCCTGAGCCAGTATAAACTTCGAGCATCCACAGCACTGGCACAGTTTCACATCACCTATCTGCTGCAAATAACCACACAAACATCCTTTTGCTAGTTTTAAATCTTGCTCCTACTAACCTCATTTGAATCCCTCACCCCACTTTGCATATCAGGAATGACAGGAAATCCTTAGTTAGGCTGTAGACCCATGAAAGAAACCAAGTAACTAAGTGCCATGAATTACTTGTAGGTTACTTGTACCAGGCACTATGTATCACCTTCTTAAAATCCTTCAGAATGGAAAGTATCAGATAAAAACAAGGGATGTAGCAGACAGCATCTATTGACCTTCAATGTTGTACTTTCATCATCATTACCTGCCAAAACTTACCTCCAATTCCTTAATTTTCTCTTCGGCTATTCTCTGTTTTTCTAAGAGCTGATTATGAATCACTCCTTTAGACTGAAGGATAAACCTACAAATGAAAGAGACAGACAACTGTTGGGTATCTTTTACATCCGTTGTACACCTACTTGCACGCAGAGTTAAACTACAGTGACCTCTGCCAAGTATTCATCCTCAATCCACACCTTCTAGACAGAGGCAGAAGAAATTGCTTCTAGAGCTCACACAAACCACCAGCCTCAAAGGCTTGCTCAGCAATCTCACCCAGTATTTGGGAGGAAGAAAATGGATGCACACTCATCTCCCTCTGTCATTCAGTGTCCTTGAATGGTTTGAAAACAGTCCTTGCATACAGCTAGCAAAGTCTGTCATCACATTCCCTTCAAAGGGATCTAAAGCAGTTTATGGCATATAGTCAAGGAAGCTTCTTTCAAGGGGAAAAAGCCATTCATTACCATTTCAGTGCTCACAAGCAAAATAAAGCGGCACAATAAAAACAAAGCTTTCTACAGAGGAAGGCTGAGAGAGCTGGGGGTGTTCAGAGCAGGGAAGGGAAGGCTCCAGAGAGACCTTATGGAGGCATTCCAGTACATAACTAGGGCTGGTAAGACAGACACTTTACCAGGGCCAGTAAGTGACAGGACAAGGGGCAATGGCTTTAAACTGCAGAAGGGCAGTGCTAGATTTGACACAGGGAAGAAATGCACGATGAGGGTGCTGAGGCGCTGGCACAGGGTGCCCAGAGAAGCTGTGGCTGCTCCATCCCTGGCAGTGTTCAAGGCCAGGTTGGACACAGGGGCTTGGAGCAAGCTGCTCTAGTGGAAGGGGTCCCTGCCCATGGCAGGGGATTGGAACTGGATGAACTTGAAAAGCCCCTGAAGGAACACAAGCATCCAAAGAGGCTCTCCAGCATGTGGCACTGGCATCCCACAAAGAGGTAAAGGACAACTAAGTTCAGATGAATTTTAGGAACCCTCTATGGTTGTTTTTCAACCTTCCAGACATAAAGAATGTACAAGCCACAGATTTGCCCCTTCCCTACTTAGAAAGTCCCCCAGGGGATTTAGAAGGAGCCTCCCTGGATCATACCAATGAGGTCAAGGTCTCCCTTCAGCACCAACTAGGGTCAGTGTCTTTCTGCCAGGTGACAAGAGCTCGTGCTTGAACAGTTAAAGTGAGCAGCTTTAGACAGGGCAGAATCAGAATGCATTCCCCATCTGGTACAGAAGAACCTGCAGTCAGTCTGTAGTGCCACCTCCCATGACACACGACATTACTAACATGCTTGTTCAGGGCCTCATCAGCCACTGCCTTGAAACCCAGCATGGTCTGCACCAGCAACAGAGTAGCCAAAAGGAAAAGTACCCTGCTACGTGCATTCCTGGAGTGTATGGGAGCAGAACTGTGGTTAACTGTAACAGGTTTGCAATTAAAACTCTCTTTGGTGCTGCGATTAACTGCGCTTACCAATTGCCTCCTCCTCCTTCACCCACTTCTCTCCCTTGTCCTGCTTTACCTCCTCTTTTCTACAGCTACTTCATCTTTTATATTGCCATTTTCTCAAATTTCTCCTTGTTTCTCCCCAGTCTCAGCTCATGTTTATTACTGGTGTCATCATTGGTATGTATCTGCTCCTATTCTTTACAACACAGCTCACTCTCTTTGTCCCCTCACTCTCCCACTTTCCATTTGGTACCTCCACAACCCATTTCCACTCAGTGGGAATGTTTCCAGGTCCAAAACAGAGCAGCCTGCTGAAATAAAATGTGGGGTTTGCTCAGTCTTGTTAAAATCAAACCCATGACCACCTTCCTAGGAAAGGGAAGTCATTTACATTGCTACTAGATGCAGAGCCTGGATTCAGCCAGAGAGGAGCTACTTTTAAGGACCACCAGCAACCACGTCATTCTGATGCTCTTACCTTGAGCCTGCAATAGCAGAAGCAGCAAACCCCAGCCTTCACACATACACAACATGGGGATTTGGGTATGAGGACCACAACTTTGCTTTACTTCTGCAGTAGCTGTCAGTAGTTAAACAATGAAAGCTGCAAGATGCCCTCATAAATAAAATCAATTGTCCTCCCCATGGTCACAGCTTCCCTGAGCCTGTGTGGTGTACGAATGTTTCCTCAATTATTTCCTTTTTTTGTGAGGCAGCAAAGCAGAATAGAATACCTTCTCTTTTGCTTCCCCAAACTGTATATTAAGGTGTAGAATTCCAGACTGATTTGGGTTGGAAGGGACCTTAAAGCTCATCGTAGGTTTGGAAACCTTGCACAGGCAGCATGCCTTCCACTGGAGCAGGTTGCTCCAAGCCCCTGTGTCCAACCTGGCCTTGAACACTGCCAGGGATGGGGCAGCCACAGCTTCTCTGGGCACCCTGTGCTGGGGCATCATCGTTCTCATAGTAAAGAATTTCTTCCTAACGTCTCATCTGAATCTATCCCTGATCAATCATTTTGGTTTCACTGAAGCCCCTGGTCTAGGACACAAGGTTAAACACCAACACAGCTCTATCAGCATTCCCCATGCTGCAGCTGGGAAGGTCCCTGTGCTGCGTCACAGGCACTGAGCGATCCCGGCTGGCTGAGGTCCGCTACAGGCACTAGAACCTTTGGACAAACAAGTGGCTGACTTCACTTCTATTCTGCAAATGTCAACAACAGTCACCGGGAAAAACACCCTCCCTCCTCCCTGCCTCCCACCCTCCTGCAATGCTCTGGCAGACATGCGACAGCACATTAAAATTGGATGGCCGAAGTTAGCCATGACGAGACTTGTGCCGGCAGCTGGGCACAAACACAACCACCCCAATTTATTTGCTATAAAATAGTGGGCTGGAACCTGTGTCCGTTCACACGCTGGCTCAGAGCAGATCAAATGTCCATGACTTGGCCAGTATCCTTCAGAAGGTTCGCACCAATTCCAGCTTCAAGCCACCCATTTTAATTCCCCTTCACTGACCCTTCAGCCTAAATTGCACAGGTGCTACCATGTAAGTTGACAAAAACTACTCTTTAGAAAGTTGAAGCTATAAACCCATATCTGATTTAAATCTGTGGCTTCAATTTCCAACACAAGAAGGACTCAAAAACCTCATCTGTATTCTAGCTTCTAGCTTGGGATACACACAGCATGGAGATCTTGGGCAAAGGTTTTACCTAAGGAAATACTGTGGTTTACAGCTGCACTTGTCTTGCTCGTTAGGCAAGAGATGCTACAGGGCACTTCTCATAAACCAGAGTTTGAATTTTACTGGATTTCATTCTTACAGTTACCCCAAGTAAAACACCAACTAAATGTTTTTGGCTTTTTTCTCACTGAGCTGGAGAACTGGGACTGTCATTCTGCTGCCTGGTTTTAGTTAACCAGGGTTATCTTACTTACAATGTTTTTAAGCTTGTGAAAGAACCATGGGAGGTTCTGAGGTCTTAGTTCTTCCCTGAGTTTGTGAACAAGCCTTTCAAACACATGAACTTCATTCATGGACGACAAGTTGACTATGAACCAGCAGTTGTGCACTTGCAGCCAGGAGGACTGATAGTATCCTGGGGTGCACCAGGAGTGTGGCAGCAGGTCAAGGGAGGCGATTCTCCCCCTCCATTCATCCCTGGTAAGGCCACATCTGGAGCACTGCATCCAGTTCTGGGCTCCTCAATAAAAGAAAGAAAAGGAGCTACAGAAGAGGAATCAGCCAGGACCACAAGGATGATCAGGGGTCTGAAGCATCTCTCTCATGAGGAGAGATTGCAGGAGCTGGGCCTGTTTAGTTTACAGGAGACTGAGAGGGGATTTCATCAGTACAGATCAATATTTCAAAGGCAGGTACCAGAAGGATGGTGCCAGACTTTTCAGTGGTGCCCAGAGACAGGATGAGTAGCAATGGCCATAACTGAAAGACAAGAAGTTTCACCTTAACATGAGGAAGAACTTCTTTACACTGAAGGTGGCAGAGCACTGGAACAGGCTGCCCAGGGGGTTGTGAAGTCTCCCTCTCTGGAGACTCCAAACCCATCCGTGTAACCTGCTCTAGGTGGCCCTGCCTTGGCAGGGGGTTGGACTGGATGATCTCCAGAGGTCCCTTCCAAATCCAAAGATTCTGTGGTTCATTCACTGTCTGAAGGCACACCAGCAGCTAAGGATGAGCCCCACATTAGAGTCATCACATCAGAGAGCAGAGCAGAGGAGACACTTTCTGCTCTGTGATGCTGAGCCCCTCAGATGACATTACTAACACCAACCCCTTGGTGCAGATCAGCACCAAAGAGCCACCTCCAGAGTTCACTCTGCCAAGGAGGGTCCCAGTGTTTGTATATTGGACTAGGATGACTTTCAAGTACTGGTAGTCCCCAGAAGACAAGCAGCAAAGCAAATCCTCCTCCAGACAAGCAAGTTCACCTGTGTCCACCTCCTCTGCGTGAAGCATCACAGCACGCACTAATAAATCTGTCAAACACAACACCTACACTATCAACCATGAAACACTGATTCAGAAACAAGTTCAGCATTACAGTGGCAATTACAAAGCTTAGCAGAAATCACCTCCTCATACAGGAACTTTTTCACTATTGTTAAACAACACCAGAAATACCTGGTCAGAACAGACAGGTTCACCACATCTCAGTTGGCCACCTACTTCAAAGGGAATGGCTAATGAAAAAGAGCAGGATTTGCCCTATTCTGGATACTGAGCAATTTTTCCACTAACCATAAAGATAACTCAGAAACAAGACAAAACAAATAGAAAAGAAAGCTAAGGAGGAATGGGGTCCTCAAGGACAGCAATATTCAGCCAAATCTGGGCTGCCAACAACAGCAGTGTTTGCAGATGAGCTCTACCTACATGCTTGGCTCTCCTGCTGTCCCAGTGACTGCTGGTTCTCAAGGACAATACAAGGAACAAAAATAGAGCACAAGGGATCTGAAAGAGAAACCTCACTCTAAATATTCCCCACTTGTTTCTATTTTCCTCCCTCTGCCAGTTCTACATCGGGATCTTTGTTTCTCTAAGGCAGAGAACATGGTTTCTATACTCTCTGAGACTCATTGCTTGTTCCCTTCTGAAGGG